TCTATATATGGAAAATGTATACCTTTGTTATAATTTTTCAGGTGTTGAAGCTAATTATTGGGAGGTTTGTCTTGAACTTGTTCCTATCCCATTGCTATAGAAGGTAAAACATATTTTTGGAGGGTCCCATGGTCCCCTTGCCTCTGCCCCCCCAACTTCTTCCTCCTCCAGCCCCATCCCCCCACTTCTATGTGTTTAGGGAGAGCAGGGTCTGACAGTAGAAGTGAGGGATGAATTTGAAAATACTGAAATACTCTGAAATAAACTTGCCTTTAGTAATTTAGTTAATCTAAAATTGATACATTTGATCTTTTTTGAAACTGCTACAATCTTTAGCATAAACATTCTGAAAATGCACTTTTAAATACCACTTTTGTACCAACTTATATATAGTACAAACTTTTAGTACATACTATGCCTGATATTAGTGCAAAGCCAAAAGTCATGATTCATGGTATAGTTCATTGGACTGGGCCTCAGCAGGGTCAACAGCATTTCAAGCCATGGTGACCCCACAGCTCAGTACTGCTCAATGTGCACATGTACTCCAGATACCCACCACAAAGGATACATGTGCTAATTACATGTGCCCCCCACTACATGTGCTCCCCATTCATGACTGGATCTAAGTGTTCTTTTCACAAGTCCTAGGATCCTCCAAAAATGTATATGCAGATGAGGCACAGGGCAACCTGGCTTGGCCACTCCTGGAGGGCAGGGCCACACTAATCATATGTGACAGCCTGTGAGGGGGTGAGAGGAGGATTGTGGGTGAACTGTTTTAAGAAACAGAAATAATTGTAAATGGGAAAGAAAGGTGCAGCTCAACTGTGGGAGTGAAGAGGACATCAAGATATATTAAACATAGTGGTGCACTGTGATTTGAAAAAGATTTGATACCAAGGAAGACAGAACACAATGGACACTGAAATAAACCTTATTCAGATGGGCTGCACAAATATATCCTGGTGGTAGTTTCCCATTAGCATCTTGGCCTTTTGGCCAAGATAAAGTGTTTTTGGCACAGGGTAGGGAAGTGTCAGGGCTGGCTCTGACCCTCCCAGTGCTGGTCTGGTATTGCAATATCTCCAGACAGTGCTAGTTCCCTCTTAGGGGAACAACTGTCCCCCTCCCCACCTTTTTTAAGGGCCACATACACAAAAAGAAGGATCCTGTCAGCATGCTTGCCCAATACGGGCTATGTGTTTTATAGTCCTGCTTAGTGTTGGCTGCATTTAATCAACTTCATACTTGGTTTGCAATACTGAGCACATGCTGCTTTTGGCAGCAGTTTAATGATAGGCAATTTATTAAATGAGGTTTCCTTTTATGCAAATAAGGGGCTTTTCCCCCCCTATGCTGATTGGGGTGGGGGGGAACCTTGTCTTTTATTCAAGTAAATATGTAGTTTGACTCTCAGGTAAATATGTACTTGGACACTCATTCTTTAACCTGGCTTCAGAACCCTTGCTTCTGAAACACCCAGGTTTCAACATATTGGATTTATACTTATTTTAGTTGGCATGAACCAAAAAGACATACCAGAGATGCCGATTTCAGTTCAGGATCTTGCCCATGTACTTTAAAGTATTGCATTTTAATGTGTAGCTAGACCTTACAAAACACATATTTGGATACAAGCAGCTCTACATTGTGAACATGTTTGAAGTAAGTCCCTACAGCATGTACACATAAGACTCCAAACATACATTTCAGCTACCATTCTAAGCTCTGAAATACTTGAGATGTAGATTAGAATATCACTTATTTCTTATTTTAAATCAAAGTCTTCTTCTAACTGTATATTTCCACTTTAAAAAATCCCCCCAAACCCCTTCACTTAATGATATTTATGTGAAATAAAACTCTTTATGGAAATGCTGAACTCCTTGTTGCTGACAGTAAAATTATAGACAACTTCACTGGGGCCAGGATTTCATCCTTGATTGTCAGTTTTCAATTTATGTAAAGCTTCAAAGGGGAAAAAAAAGTAATAACATGTTTAAAATCATATATATATGATACTACAATTCTATTTGCTAATCTACACAAAATCAAACATACAACAGCTGAATTCTGACCTATTATCCTAGATTTGCAGGGAAAAATCTGATTGGAATGTTGTGGTTCAGATAGGATTGCAGAGATTTGTAGGGGCATTAGAAGCCTAAACACAATGGCATAAAAAACAGACTTATTGTTTTCCTTAAAGTATCCAAAAGTAAAATCAAAGAACAGTGTTTCCTGTAATTTATTTCTAAACATTTAAAAAGGGGCCTTATTTCTTAATGTTCTATATATTTTTCACCAATCATATTTCAAAACCGATTTGTTTCCAGTCAGGGGGTTGCAGTGGTGCAATCACTTCCTCTTCTGGCATGTGTCTGAGCTCACAGACATGTCAGTGTAGCTCCTTCCAGACTTCTGCATGTGCCATAAGCTCTGAATTCACCAGCTGATTGGTGTAAAGCTGGCCACAGCCTTTGCTTTTACACAGCTCTGGAGCCCAGAGGGTGAGTTTTGCCACCATCTCTCATCCCCTTTTACTCTGCTGCTGAATTTAGCAGATTGAGTGAGGAGGGGATAGGGCGAACAGCAGCACCAGTTACCAACTCAGCTCTACAGCAGCAACTGCAGTCAGAGCCTGTACCAATCAGCTGGTGTGCTCAGACAGCTCATGGGCAGTACAGAGCTCCATGGAGGGGAGATGGCTCAGAGAGCTCACTGTGCATGCCGAAGTGGCTCCGGCTACAAGCCCCTCACCATCATCCTGGATCCATCCATGTTTCCAGTGGAGTAATAATTTTAGCCTTTTTTAAAAGTTAGCAGTGTTGGCTTGCTCACCATCTTCCCACCATTATAATTACAGATATTGACAAGATATAGATAAACTTCTGTGGCTTCAAGCATTAAGGTGATAGTCATCTTGTGAAATGAAAACTCATTTTTAAAGAGGATAGCTACTTCAGTATGAGATTTTTAAGCTGCAGACTTGCCAGCTGAGCAATTTATATGTGGCTTGGTCCTGTATCTTTAACTCCAGGAAGTTCTGCAACCAGTGTTGGCCTAAGGATAAATCCAGAAGTTCTTGAGAGCACAAAGGATACAATTTTACAAATGTGCAGGAGGGTACAACACAAAATAGAACACTAGCACCAAAAACAAGCACTGCCTACCTTCTTTCTTCAATCTATGCATTTCTATTTTCTTCATGTTTGTACTATGAAATGATCCATTTAAATTCAATCAGCTAAAAGATAGATCTACCTATAGATAGATCTACCTATATATTGAGATTGAGATGCAGGCAGTCCTCGACTTACAACGTTTCACACTTACAATGTTTATAAATTGACACCCTGTTTCAACTTTGATGTCAGTTTCGACTTTACAATGCTTGATCTCACGCCACACCACACCGGTGAAGGAGTTTGCTGTGTCGCCCATCTCCTGTCTGTCCAAACTTCCTTGGACACTTTCTTTAAGAAAGCAGATAAGACTCCAGAAAAACCGGCAGCCAAGACTCCTGAGAAGACTTCAGCCAAGAACCTTTCAAAAAGTCCTTCCAAACCAATATGATTGCTATTTACAATATAAATACATTAATGTAGCTATATTACTCATCTATAATTGATCGAGTACATAATTCTGGGTTATTTTTGGTGAAAACAGGGTATCGGACCTTGGTTCAGGAACCAATCCTCCATTTATAACATTGTTTCCTATGGGAAAAATCGGTTCTGAGTTACGACATTTTGGCTTAAGACATGGTTCTCAGGAACCAACTGTGTTGTAAGTCTGAGGACTGCCTGTATATGCATGCCTTCCCTGAAAGTTACTGGATGATAACCATAATGTAGAATGAAGTTCTACAGATTCTACAGGAGAACTCTTATTGAAAATTCCTGCATTTAGTACAGATATACTAGTCTCTCTCAGTGGATGACAAGGTCATGCCAATAATATATAAAAAGGTGGCAAAATTTAAGGTAAGAAATGGTTTTCATAAAGCTTGCTGAAGCCAAGAAGAAAAAGTGGTGATGCATGTATATTAAATAGGTAGCACAACAATGATACAAATTAACATCTAAAATGCAAATCAGATTGTACATTGCCACACACACTCTCTCTGTTAAAGTCTCAGGCTTGACTAATTGAATTGCCATTGATAAGATGTCACTTAAAGAGACATGTCTGCAGTGAAACATGGGTTTGCTGTAAATGACCTGTCATTAAAGGCATGGGTAATGTCCGTGTCCAGACTGAAAAATATCGTACCTCCCAGCAGTAAGCTCAGTAGGAGTTAAAACAGCAAGAATAGTGAAAAGTCAGTGTACATGATCCACCAGAGAATTATGCCTCAGGTGCTATGTTAATTTACTTGCTGGCATACATTAATTGAAACCAATCAATAAGGCTGTGGTACAGCATAGGGAATGCAACAGAAGTAATTGACTGCCACATTTATTCATGTTTTAAACTCAGAAACCTAGAATAATTTAGTCTAAGATTTTTCATTGTGTCAATACAGATAATTAATTAATTATTTGTCTACTAGTCTCCCCATCCTTATTATAGTAACTACGATCTCTTTTAAAACAGTTTCTGTATAAGTTAGACCACTATTGCTACATTTGTTAAATCGCATCTTTGATCAAAATAATTTGGAAATGTCTTTCAATAAACTAGGCCACAAATAAACATACACACATTTAGATACTGGAGAGTAGCATTAAACACTTAGGCCAAGATAGTTCATGATTATTATACTCATTCTCAGCTTTACACAGTAGCAACCAAACAGAGTGCAAGAACAGATTTAAAAAATACTTCAGAAACAAAACTAAGATTCAAAGTCATAAATCAAACAGCAAATAATAGCAGGTAGAATAGTTGGAAACACAAAGCATTTCAACAGCTCAAAAATCCATTCTGTATTTCTCATATCAATTATAATAGTTTTTAATTTTTAAAACATCAAGTGAAAATAATCTTATTACCTCTACTTGAAATCTTTTAGACCTTTATCAACTCCACCTTTAGTATTTGAATTCCTTTCTGTCTCAGCTCCCCAAGTCACACTTTCATGATCATAATACATACAAGACGCTGGCAACTTTTCTACAGGCATCAATAAACACAACCACCAAAAAGTCCATATTCATTTGCCAGTCTAGTTGAAAACCTCCCAGCTTCTTCCTGCCTCTAATCTGAGACTACGGAACAGTTAGACCTGATTTCTGCTATATTGCATCTGGGATTGTCTCTGCAACTAGGTAACCCTATCATTTTGATTCAGTAGCATTTGTTACATACTTTGGACAGGTGATGATGGTTATGGGCCAATGAAGAGTGAGACCTGCAAACTGCAGCTGTTGTTGTGAAGATTTTTTTGCATCTGCATCTCTGTCTGCAATAGTGTTCGTGTGTTTTACTGGGTTTTTTCCATCTTCTTGAAAGGTATTTCATTCTTTTTTGTGTGCCTCCTAACTATTCACTGCCTTTTTTTTCTATGTAATTAAGTGCTTAATTTAATGATGGGGGCTAAAGCCTCACCTGTTGTCAACTGACAAAGGCTTTATTAAAATCAGCCACTATGCTTACTTATACCAGCTAGGAATCTGGCCACCTGTCTTTACATCACTGTTGTCTGTAATTTATACCACATACTGTTCACTCCTTTGAATGTTTTAAGTATGTAAGGTAGTTTGTGACATGCATGAGATGCTATGCAAGACACAAACCTGCAATGCTACTTACTGAACACTCTGCTTATTGCAATTGCTTGAACCTGGCAGTGTTTGCAGACTCATATAGTTTGGTTTACATGAAAAAGAAGTGTGATGTTTCAGTCTGGGTAGAATTCTACTGCAATATTTTTATGGTGTCAGTGTACCTGTCTTATTTAATTTTTAAAAATCTCATTAGTTATATGATGGTTTCCATAAAAGTTTATTTGCTTTTGGTGTTTTGGAATATTAAAACAACACTAGCTAAGATCGTCTTGATAGAGACAAAAATACAGAAGAGGTGTGGGCAACTATATTTTCTATAGGTGATATGTGAGGAATAAATACAATAACTCTCCCTTTCCAGGGAAGTCTCTTGACTTACATATACCCTTTCTTTATTTTTATGACCCACTGACTATTAATGTTTTGCAAAGTGAAACATCTTCAAGAAAAGTATTGCAAGAATACCTCCACCCAAAAAATATTGTATGTTGTGGTGTTTATAATATTCCCTTGTATGTGGGGATATGGTTTGAACTCCCTCAGGCAAATGAGAGGCAAGCAATTTAATCACTAAATTCAAGAGCACTAGATGCAGCATCAGGGCTAGCTGTGTTTTAAACACATGACCCTTACACAGCTTTTTGAAAGAAAATGCTTATACATCTACCATTGGAACAGGTTTCAGGTTGCAAACTATAAAGGGAAGGAATTCCTTCTGAGTAAGATGCCCGAGTCCCAGAAAAGGCTAAGATTTAAAGTACGCTCCAACCTTGATGCTTCCTGTTAGCTAATTTAATGGCTTGCTTTCTGTTGGTCCCAGTGGGTCCAGTTCTGAGATAATTAAGGTTATGTCTTATCAACACAAAGCAGATTTATCCCACTCTGGTTTTGTGCACCAGCTCTGTCACTGGAGGTAACAGATTTGCTTTGGTGCAGTGCTATACCTGAGATAGTAAGTTTGGCTTTATACCAGAGCTAACTACTAACTAGTCCAGACTTAATACCCTGCTAACACATCTGTGCTGCTTCTGATACTGGGTATCAGCTGGTGTTATACACTGCCTTGCGCTGTATCAATATGCCCTAATTCTTCTTTTGAATTCCATAAGGGACTAGGTACCTAAGAGTTGCAGTGCTTAGGTCTCTTTTGGGACAGAACCTTATCTCCTCAGAAGAAACCCCCTCAGAAAAAAACATGATCAACTTTCCCTGATACTGCAGTATGCAAAGCAGGACATGCTTTGTAATAAATTAAGCCTGAATTTAATACAGCTCAGCGCATCCTGTCACAATGCCTCACATGGGCTTGGATTCAGGTATTTGGTGCCCATTGGCATCATCTCACCCCATCAATGAAAAGCACAGCAATGAGATTTCATGGAGTAGAGCACATATGATACATAAAATACTATGTATTGAGAAAATCAGCTGCAGTTAAAAAAAAATCAAATAAATATACTGGAATATTAATTTGATCTAAAGTGGAAGTGTATTGCATTGTTTCCAAACTAAACAGCTGTCTTTTCCACAGAATTCTCAAACAATAGATATACCACATTCCAAAAAAAAAGGACTGGATCAAAGCTGCTTCACAGAGTGGATAATTATTTTTTTCTTTAAAAGTGAAAAATCAAGATGACTAATTTACTGTATTCATTTACGATCCTAATGATGGATGAGAGCTAAAGACATTTCCCTTTTCCTGAAACAATAATAGGTAGGAGTTATGTATTCTGCTTGGTTTTTTTCCCCCTGTGCAGCCCGAGTGACATTATAATACTTAATTAACTTTTAAAAAGACCCTATCATGATTTCTGCCCTGTAGAGCTGCACTGCCCTGGAGCAGGAGTAAGGGCTAAAATATAGCTCAAAATTCTTGATGGTCACTATTCATTCCTGACAAAATCAAGATCATTCTCTAATCCCATTATTCTGGATTTAAACTTGTGCCATCTTTTCTTTGTCTGCTTGAAGGTGGTGCATCACAGCCTCCTAGATAAAATGTAGTGAATGGGGCCTATGGGACTTAAGAGCTCATGTGTTTACTAGATGTGCACCAATATATTGGTCACATATTGGATTGGCACCAATAAAAGGAAAATTAAGATTATTGGCTGTCAGCTTTTTTTTGGCCAGTGTAGCCAATAATGTCACTGATAAATGTTGCATGCATGTGCACAACTATAGCATGCAAGTGGTCAGAAATGCAGCCTGGCAGCTTGGAGAGCAGCAGCCTGCTGGTAAGTCTGTTGGGGGGGAAGGGGCATGGGAGAAGGAAGGGGTGTGGTGGGGGCAGATTGAGGCCCCCAGGTGAGGGAGGGAGAGGGGCAGGGTCAGTTGTTGCCCAGCAAGGACAGCAAATGGGACCCTGGGGCTAGGAGTGGGACATAACCATGAGTGGCTCATCCAGGGGATGTAGGAGGGGCATGGGGGATGGATTCCCACAGCTGCACTCATCCTCTGGAGAGACTTGGGGGCAGAGCAGAGTGCTGTGATGAAGGGTAATGCTATAGGTTTTGGGGGGCTATAACCACCCCAGAATTCCCTGTAGCCCCTCCCCCATAGCCACCCCTCCCAGCACCGCTGCCCACCCTGCACAGCAGAGCCTGCCCCACTCCCAGGCCTGGACCAGCTCCCCCACTGGGAAGAGACTGGCACAGTCCCTGGCCCCAAGCCTGTAGCGAGCAACCTGCCCTTACCCTGTACACAAGTCCAGGGGGGCACATGCCCCCTATGCCTCCCCTGGGGGCGCACACAGCAGCAGGGAACCATCCTCCTTCTTCCTTCCCCCCCAAACAAACTGCTTGCACCTCCATTCTGTTCCCAGCTCTTGGGTCCCATTCATTGCCCTGGCTGGGCAGCCCCAGCCCCAGCCCCAGCCCCAGGCCCTGCCCATGTCCTTGTCCCTGCCTCACTCCCTCCCTCACCATGGGGGCCTTGATCTGCCCCCCCCATGCTCCTTTCCTCCCCCACGCCCCTTCCCCCCACAGTCCCCTGGCAGAGCACTGCTCTCCAAGCTCCTAGAGTGCATTCCTGTAAATAAGCTATTGGATTAATATTGGCTGGTTAATAACTGTCCAAGTATTGGACAAGAAAATCTTTATTGGTGCACTCCTAGTGTGCACTTCTTGTTATGTAGTCTCACCCTAGGAGGGAATGGACCATGTCTTATTAAAGATAAGCTTGGTGTTTTGCAAACAAACAAGCAGATCCATGTCCTGAACTATTAATTATATTAGGTAAATAAATACCTAGACTAGTTTATATAACCCCCATGTCCTGCAATGGTTAATTGACTTGTTTACTCCTATTGACCAATTCCACTCACCTTCACATCTCTCAGCAGTGCACCCCCCCCCCCAATCCTTTGCTTTTAATTTAAATTCTGTTTAGACCTCCTACTTTCTACAAGTTTATTCCTAGAATCTGAAAAAGTTGTCTGTCTCCTGGGAAAGCTTGTGACTATCTGAACCAGTGTCACCTTGCCCAGGCTTCTGTCTAACAAAAGAAGAGTGAGATTTTTTTATGAAGTGAGGATAAGAGATGGGGAGGAGAAACAAGAGAGAGGGATTGTTATGGAATATTGCCTCAGGTTTTGTCAAACAAAGCTCTAACTGCATTTTTCCTCAAGTAAAGAAAGCAGGATTAGATTTCTCACTATTGTTGCTTGTTTTTACAATGTCCATGGTTTTACTATCATAGCAGGGTCCCCTAACCCCTGCTACTTGTAGAATAGGAAGAGCTAGAGTTCAGTCTGGCTTCACTTGTGCTGAGGGCAAATTCCTG